AGGCTCTGAGCCGTCAGCACAGAGCCTGACACGGGGCTCGAACTCATGGACCGTGAGATCATGACCTGAGCTGAAGTCGGACACTCAACCGACAGAGCCACCCAGGCGCCCCTGATTCCAGCTTTTAAGTTAAAATTTAAATGGTAGTCCCTTTTTGGTGAAGGGAGAAACTGCTGTGTTCCTTCTGCTTTCGAGTGTGTGGTGGGAGGGCGCCTGCTCAGTGGATGTTCAAAGTGGTGTAGTGAAAAGGAAGTGGGCAAGGTGAGAGAAATGCTTCAGAGACCAAACCAGAAACCCCAGGCTCCTTGTCAGGACAAGCACAACCAGATCTCTTCCTCTAGTGCCCTCTTAGCCCTATGCCAGGAGGGATTATCTGGTATAGCATAGTTGGCACCTCTGTTCCCTCCAGAAGGGAATCCTGAGTGAGGTAGACAGCAGTGGGGAGAGAGACATACACTAGGACAAGGCACACAGATGTGGGGCAATACAGACAGTGCAGGGAGGCAGAGATGCAGAGGTCCGGAGACAGGAGTTACTGATAAACACGGGTATCCAGATCCTGATGGGGTTCCAGAATGAGAAGGGGGTGGAGGGTAGGGATAGGGATGATGGGCTGTTGGTGAAATGTGATGAGAATCTCAGATTCTCATCAGGGGGGCTCAGAGGGGAAATTGGGTACAGATGAATTCTCAGCCAGAAGCCCATATCTTCTGTTTTGCTGATGATCATGATTCTTTAGGCTCCCTGCATTCCACACTTTCCTACCCTGACATTAAGTGAGACTGTATTTCCCTTTGGCTCAGAGTCTGAGACTGAAAGTTACTGAAGGAAAATAGATGACAACTGAGTGCTGGATGGAGTTGATGAGCCTCAGGACTGGGCTGTTCGGGCCATAGCCTGCTCATGGGGTTGCCTCCAGTGTGGCACATTCGGGGGTTTCCCTGGACACAGATCATCTGCAACGTATCTGAGTGGCTACTGGACCGGACAGCATGAGAAGAGAGGGGCTGGTTATTTAGGGAACATGAGGTTCTCTGCAAGAGGCTTCAGGGCAGTATAGAATCGTGTTGATAGCGAAGACTTCCAAGGGATAAAGAGCCCTAACTTCTCTCAGGCTATAGGGATAAGTGTACAAGTCCCAAATCCCTTATTTGAAACCTCCAGGGACAGATGTGTTTTGGACTTCAGAATTTTTCAGATTTTAGAAAGGGATATAGTGCCTTTATTGTATATAAAGGAGTACTCCACTGAGGTTTAGGACAGTGCCCTATAATCAAACACATCAATATTTCTGCAGCTAAATGTATGAATATTCACACCAAGTGAAATACATAAATACTATAAATACCATCGTGATGTTTCAGGTCAGGTTTTTGGCCAAAGTTATGAAAAAAACATTGTTTCTTCAAAGATTTTTTTATTTTGGAATTGTGGATAAGGGATTATGCGCTTAGAATTACTCTCAGGTTTTGTGAGGAGTAGGGGATTGCTGGTAGTCTTCTGAACACATCACATGGTAGGTATGTGTGTGCTCTCCATCCAGACAAAATACTAATGTCCAAGGGTGTGGATTTTTGGCTTGAAGAAAGTTCTTGCAATGAACAATGCACAACCTTGGACTCAGCTGCGCTGGGAAGCTGTGCACAACCAGGGAATGAAGGTGCCTTAGACAAGAGGTTTCCTGTGGTGGGAAGGTGACAGAATTCATTGCTTGTGAACATTGGCTGCATAGGATTTCCCTTTTTCGTGTACCAGAGGGGAGAGGCAAAAAGTGTGTGCGTGTGTATGTGTGACACAAGACTGTCACACGTACATTTCTTTATAATAATGTTGTAATAAATGTCTTACTGCATACATCTTTGTTCACATCTCTAATTATTTTGTCAGGATAGATTTATCAAAGAGGAATCCCTAAGAGAAGGATATGGACATCTTAATGACTCAGTTCCAATTAGGATTAGAATTTTGTCATAATTATCCACAAAATCATTGCCTGAGGAATTTTTTTAACTCAGAACTTCATGAAAAAGATTAGTCTTGGGAATGACTGAGGCCACAAAGGAAAACTGTCAATCTTCTCAATGTGACAACACCTCTGAAAATCACGCAGAGCTTCTGGGCTGTCTCTTTAGCTCCTTGTTAGTGAGGACCTGGTGAGACCCCATGTGTTCCTGAGAAGATGTCACCTGCCTTTTCAGATTTGCAGCCGCCTGTTCTGTGTGCTTTCCCGTGGTACTTGGTCTAGCTGTTTTGCTGAGTGGTTAGCATTGCACTTGGCTTCAGGTCCTCATGGCTGACTCCAATACCTGCAGTTATGATAGTTTTCCCAAAGAGCTTGGGTCTGCCTGTGCAGCCTGCAGCTTTCCATGACCTTCTAAAAGTGAATTCCTGCTTTTTGTCTGAAATTATATTCATTCTGGGCTCCATGCTGGTGTGAAAGATCTTTTGCACAATGTCCCTTCCATTGTAATCTTAGCTGAAGGTCAATCCCCTGTTACACCATGTGTAATATCTCTATTCTCTGGTAGCCACAGCAGTGTGAAATATTCCTATACCAACATCCTGTGCTTCTAGTGATGTTGGCCAGTCCAAATGGGGGTGCTGATGTAGATTTTATTTGGGAATTCAACACTCTTGGCTGAGAATGCAGAGAAGAGCAAATTGGTAAGAGACCATAGTGACTAGACCTCAGGCAAGCAGGTAAAGTGGCTACAATGATTTCCTGGGATATCAGAATTTCTTTAAAAAAATTTTTTTAAGTGTTTATTTATTTATTTTTTTATTTATTTATTTTTTTTAACGTTTATTTATTTTTTTGGGACAGAGAGAGACAGAGCATGAACGGGGGAGGGGCAGAGAGAGAGGGAGACACAGAATCGGAAACAGGCTCCAGGCTCTGAGCCATCAGCCCAGAACCCGACGCGGGGCTCGAACTCACGGACCGCGAGATCGTGACCTGGCTGAAGTCGGCCGCTTAACCGACTGCGCCACCCAGGCGCCCCTAAGTGTTTATTTTTGAGAGAGCATGAGTGGGGGGTGGGGTACAGAGAGAGACGGAGGCACAGAACCTGATGTGGGCCTCAAACCCACAAACTGTGGGATCAAGACCTGAGCTGAAGTCTGATGCTTGACCAACTGAGCTACCCAGGTGCCCCTCAAAATCTTTAAGTTGGACCTCTGACTCCTAAGGGAGAGTTCTAGCCATTAATTCTTGAGATATTGACAGGAGAGTGGAGGTAGGGGAAATAGACCCTAACCCATGAAACCAAGGGGATTCTCTGAACTAGGAATGGCCAATTTTGGGACCCCTATCTGGACACATTATCCAGATTCTCAGAATGTGGGGAATAAGCCTGTAACTTCTTCCCTAAGGACAGAATCTGGTTCCAGGAAT